ATATATATATATATATATATATATATATATATATAAGCTCCTACATTGGTATGTTCTGAGTTACACATCATTTACTGTTTGTTATTTGTATCCTAGGTTCAGGTTCAGTGGTCGTATCCTTGGCCTTGCTCTCATTCATCAGTACCTTCTTGATGCTTTCTTCACGAGGCCATTCTATAAAGCACTACTGAGGCTGTAAGTATATGAATGCAATCAACAGAGACTTGGGCCTTGATCCTGCCATGATCTCTGCAGAAACAAACCCTTGTGGAGCTCATTGCAGGACTGGGACCTTAGTTTTCAAGTTCTTCCACTGTTGCTTTTAGGGTAGATGGGAGGGAGATTTAATCATTTCCTTTTTTCCCCCAGACTGTGCCCTTCTTTAATATTAACAGTGTTGATTAAAGGGTTAAAAGGCATTGGAGTTAAGCACCCACTTTTGAAAATATTGGTCCACATTCCTAAATTTTAATATTAGGAAAATGCAGTCCGAACCATTTAAATGGGATATGGGTCACTGAAAAGCATATTTAATTGGACAATCCACAGAGAAACAATTCTTTTCTCTAAACAAAATGAGATATCTTGCATGTCACTGGAAAAAACATAATTGCCCAAGCTCCATTGTTTGGATTTTTTTTTCAGCCTAAGCATTTGTTAATTATGTTTAATCATAGAATATCAGGGTTGGAAGGTACCTCAGGAGGTCATCTAGTCCAACCCCCAGCTCAAAGCAGGACCAATCCCCAGACAGATTTTTGCCCCAAATGGCCCCTCAAGGAGGGGGCTCACAACCCTGGGTTTAGCAGGCCAATGCTCAAACCACTGAGCTATCTCTCCTCCCCAAATGTTAATATGTTAATATGGATGTAAAGCATTACAGGTTTCTTGTGGGTTTTGCTCAGCCTGTCTTACACAATGAGAACCAGGAGATGCCCAGTAATGTATTACTTTTAATGCTCATTGAAATGTTTTGATATTTTAATGGATGGTCTATTGCTCTTTAATCAATTTTATGCAATAAGAAAAGCCACATAAAATATACCAAGATTCAGTTGAATGAATTGATATATATTGACAGATGATATCTCAGAGGAATGTTTAGCTGAAATGGTTGGTTAAACCATGATTTGAGGACTTCAGTAACTCAGCCAGAGGTTAGGGGTCTATTACAGGACTAGTGGAGGAGGTTCTGTGGCTGCAATATGAAGGAAGTCAGACTAAGTCCCTTCTGACCTTAAAGTCTATGAGGATTAATCTGAATTTGCAGTGAAGTCTCTTTTAATAAGCTTTTAAAATGCACGTCATTCTATTTTACTGATATTTAATGTTCTGTAGTCCACGCACTTTGAGTTTGGTGTTTTAACAAAAGGTGTATGTATAAAATCAAAAGGGCATCAGCTTTTGTCAGAGCTTTGTCATAAGAAAACACTGTACATGTTCTGAGCAGCAAACCATCATCCTGGTACACATAAGGTTATATCTTCCTCGTCGTTTCTCTGTCTTGCTGTACAATTAGGCCATGTGATTTAAGTGACTTGGAGTACCTGGATGAGGAGTTTCATCAGAGCTTGCAGTGGATGAAGGATAACAACATCACTGATATCCTGGATCTCACTTTCACAGTGAATGAGGAGGTGTTTGGCCAGGTGAGTATGGCTATGTGACAAACCATCGCAGAGTTTGAAAAACAGATTTGGAACTGACATAGTCAAACACAATGAACATCATTCTGTTTGAACAGATTCATAGTAAATTCCTTTAACCTTTTCAATGCCATTTTCATCTCTTGCCTTTTGTTCTTATAAGCCATCTATTTCAGTGCACACAGTTATTCTCAGAGTCTACCGTGTACAATACCAGCCCTGGCTTCCCTACAGGCCTCGTCAGCCACACACTGATGAACAGAAGGAATTCTCTAAAGTGGAATATAGCGCCTCTTTCTAGGGTGTAATTCAGACAGATTTGTTATTCGGTGAATGTGGAACAAATGTAATTTACATGTTGATGTGACTGAAAGGATGGGGGGGGAACAACTAATAGGTGGCATATGGTATGGCAACCCTCATCACTACTTTGCCTTGCATCTTCCTATTAGTTGCTATTCCTCCTATCCTCACCTCCTTCTGCACACTGGGCATGTAAATTACCCTTAGTTATGCACCCCCAGTAATTATGCTTCTGCCACTTACACCTGATTTTTTGTTTTGATTTTGTTTTTGTTTGTTTGTTTGTTTGTTTGTTTGTTTGTTTGTTTGTTTAACCAATTTAGGCATGAGGCCAAATTTAGTTTTGAGTTATACCAATATAAATTCAGAATAGCTCTGTTGATTTCACTGGAGTTACTTTACATTTACACTTTTGTAAATGAAAGCATAATCTGTGTATTTTACACCACCATATATGACCCCACTGAATTTGACCCAATGAGATAGTGGTGGGACATCAAAGAGGAGATGTAGGAAGAACAGCTGGAGATGGTAGACTGTACAAAAGGGGAGAGATGAGGCTAGAGAGGCAGATTTGGCAATCATCAGCATGGAGACAGTAGGTAACGCTGTGAGCGTGGATGAAGTTGCCTAGAAAAACGAAAGAGAGGACAGAGCCCCAAGAGAAACCAATGGAGAGTTGGGGGCAGGATTAAGAGCCACCAAAGGAGATGCTGAAGGCTAAAGAAGTGTCGAAGCTGAGGGAAAGGAGAAAGTTCAGGATGAGGGTTTGACTGGTAGTCTCAAAGGCAGCAGAGAGATCAAAGTAAAATATTGCCCCTGTGACTTTCCAGGGAAGTAGTAAGGGCATAAGCCAGGCTGGAGGAGATCAAGAATAGAGTTGGAGCAGAGAAAATCTGGCAGCAGGAGTAAACAATAGGTCAGCAATAAGGATCTTGGAAGCAGAAGAGTCTGCAGAAGGGTATTTTCAAGGTTGAGGTTGAACTCTGGTGTGTCGGTAGACTAGTGGAAAGGAACTAGAGGATAGAGACTAATGACAAGGAAAAGAGGGGGAGCGAAGAAGGACAAGAGGCAAAAACAGAATCCAGGGGGCAGGATAAGGGATTACAAGTATTGGGGCCTCTTCAGAAGAGATAGGATTATTCTGCACAGCCCAGCCATCAACTGTTTTCTTGGCTTTGAGCAAAATTTTGCGTGACATCCAAATGATGATGCAGTGGTTGCTCTGGCAGAAATGGCAGTTTAAAACTAATGCGTAAAGACGTAGACGGACAAACAAAGTTATGCAGATACACTGTACGGACAGATGAGTTACATGTATATTTACATTAGTAGACAATGAAGGTAAGTGAAAATATCAATGGGAGTTGTGCTCATTCATCTGAGAGCACCACCTGGCTTGCTACCTAGAATTACGCTCTTTGCAAAGAGAAGATGCATATCATTAAGTGGGATTTTGTTGCATGCTACAAATAAGATGGGTTTTAAAAGAAAAGATCAAGATATCTGATAGTACTAAACCAGATGAACAACTTAGGGCCAGATTCTGATACCATTATTCATGTTGACTAGTACCTTACTTCACAAGCAGACCCATTGACTTAGCTGGGATTACTGGTGGAGTAAGGTGACTTTCATTGTGAATAAGAGCATCAGAATCTGGCCCTAATCTCATTTTAGATTTTAAGGTTTTTTGGGGCAGGGACTGTCATTTTCTGAATGTTTGTACAGCACCAAGCACATTGAGGCCCCAATTAGGTTGGCCTCTAGGTGCTACCTCAATATAAATTGCAACAGAGGGTCCTGTGGCACCTTTAAGACTAACAGAAGTATTGGGAGCA